CACGAGAAATAAGAAGTGCACCCAACTTTATGCGAGGGGATGGAGATTCAAAGATATACGCTAGAAAAGTTATCATTGGTTTGGTTAAAAAAAAATTTTATTAATAAAGTTTTATGATGTTGAAATATATTATGTAAAAATTATTAAATTTTATTAAATTATTAATTTTATTATATTTAAATAAAAAAATTAATTTAGAAAAAAAATTATTAAGTGAGGTTAGTATAGAGAAAATTATAGGAAAAAGTTCTTTTTTAAATAGGTGAAAAAAATTTACAAAATTGAGAATTATATTAAAAAATAAATATTTAAAATATCTTTTTTTTTGCTATAGTATTTATATATGAAAATTCATAAAAGTTTATAAAAAAGAAAGTTTGACGAAGTTTAAGAGATAAAGTTTTTTTCAACCGAACACTTATGTACAATAATTTGATTATATAAAGTATGCAAAAACTAAGATTTAACTTTTTACTTTACAAAATTGATAGGTTTTAGCTCATCACATTTTAACATGACAGTTTTAACCTTTTATCTTATAAAATTGGTAAGTTTTAGTCCGTCACCTTACAAAGTTGATCGATTTTAATCCCTTATCGATACGAATTAAAAAAATTAGCTCTCATATAATATCAGTTTATAATGTTTTGTTAATTTTATTAGCTGACTGTTAACATTTGTTAGCATTCTATTATAAAAAACATGAAATTTAAATTCAATTTTATTTGTTAGTTCCATTAATGAAATGCTAATGGATGTTAACAATCAATTAACAAAACTAACAGTTAGTTAGCAAAACTAACAGTTAATTAGCAAAACTAACAGTCAATTAACAAAACTAATAGTCAGTTAACATAACTAATAGAACATTATAACATGATGTTAAATAAGAGTTATTTTCTTTAATTCGTACATATAAGGGGCTAAACGTGTCATAATATAAGGTGATGGGTTAAAATCTACCAACTTTGTAAGATAAAGAGCTAAAAATGTTATATTATAAGGTTAAGGGTTAAAACCTACTTATTTTGTAAGGTGAGGGGTTAAAAGTTGATTTTAGCCTATAATGTAGGGGTGGATGCAAAAAATATGCAACTTGAAAAAATATGAAATCCACTTAAATATGACTAGGTTTTAGGTTTTTTAACTGAGTTTTAATTATAACTGAATTTGAATAGAGTGAATTTTAATTATAAAGTTTTGAAACTGAAAACTTGATACTAAACTGGGTATAACTAAACTTTTTTATACTTTTTTTTTTTTGAAATTTGATAATTTTTAGGCCTTCCTCCCATTTTCAAAATTCTAGCTATTTTTGAATATTACTTTTTAAAATTTAATGCTTTATGAAAATTTTTTGGCCCCCCCTCTTGTATCCACTCATTCTTGCTCCAAAAATTGGCTAAATTTAATTTTTCTGGTTTTTAAGTTTAAATTAAAACCGAACTAAATGGTTCTTAAAAAAAATTAACCAAAACCAAAAAACTCAATAATTTTATTTTGTTCAATGGTAACTACAAATTAATAACAAAAATTTAAATTCTATTTAATATGATTATAGTTTTAAATCTTTTTGTTTTGATTTCAAAAAATTTTAAAACCCTGTAATAAAATAAATTTTTTTATAATTTAATTTAGTTAAGAGTTTTAAATATTTATTTTAAAATTTTATATGTAATAAATTAGTATTTTTAATTTTTAATCTTTTTGTTTTGATTTCAAAAAATTTTAAAACCCTGTAATAAAATAAAGTTTTTTATAATTTAATTTAGTTAAGAGTTTTAAATATTTATTTTAAAAATTTATATGTAATAAATTAGTATTTTTAATTTTTAATTTTAATTATGTAAATTTTGAAAACCAAAAATTAAAACTTAAAATCACAATTATATTAAACGAACTTGATGATTTAATTTTAATTACAACTAAAACCAAACTAACCCTCTCCTATATACTTTGAAATACTTATTTTTAAAGTGAAAGTAAAAAAGACCTTCTACTATTGCATAATTTCCAATTCAATAAACCACACAATTTAATTTGCGTCGATAATTTCCCTTGTAGTTCCCTTTTCATCAAAAGCCGGTATGGTCTTGTCATCACCATTTATAAATGTGGATGTCTACTTTACAGCCACTACATTGCATTTGCATCATGTTCTATGCATAAAAGAGATAGTGCTTTAACCCTTTAAATTTGCGCAAAACCTTGGACATGGATCTAACATTGCATTTGAATTATGGGGATTAAAACAGGACTTGATCAGATAGCTCTCCAGTTGGGTTTTAAAAAGGATTGAAATTGAATCTCACTCCTTACTTTCCATTAACACCTTATCCCACGAAAGTATTGCTAGCAGAGCTCACTGCTCACTAGTTGCTGTTTGCAGATCATTGATTCTACAGTTTGATGATGCTGTTTTCCATCATATTTATTGTGAAGCAAGTAGTGTGATAGATACACTTGCCAAGCACGGTACATCAATGGGGAAACTTTTGTTATTTTGATTCTGTTCCTAACTTTTGTGCCTTTTGTTTCTCCCATAATCGAGATGGTTGTTCTGTGTATCAGATCAATTTTTCTCAAATTTAACTTGTATTTATAATATTTCTCATTTGCACCAAAAAAAAAAAAAAGAAGAGAGAGAGAGAGAGATAAAGCTTTCTTCCTTTTTCCATCTCTCCCACATCATTCACCCAATTCAGCGGCCACGCTATTGCAACCATCCTCAACCACATTCTCATCATGGAACTAGTTTCCCACCTTTTCCCTTTTCCTTTAAAAGGGAGAAAAAAAAAGGAAAAAGCTTCCGGGAGAGTTGAATTATTATTGTTTCTTCACTGTCTTTGGGACCTACAGGTGATGGAGGAGATCACGAACACATCCATATATGTTAATTTAGTATTGTTTAATTTCATGCAGAACAACTAATGAACAATTACTGATAATTATTACATTCATTAGAATTCGAAATGTAGTAATACAAGAACCGGAAATTTTCACCTGAGGGGACAACGGTTATTCCTCTTGCCACTGCAGGGCCAATGGCCAAAGCATCATCTACATATGTAGCAGGTGGTTATGATCTGCCGAGGAAACCGAGAGCAAGTCAACAGCATCAAAGATGGCATCATCAAATTCAGCTAAGGTCAGCTGAGCTACAACCACCAGAAGCCCCCCAGCAAACTTTGCATACAGCTAACAATGATGATGGCGGTACCTCCCCTTACCAACCCTGGACCTAATCCCATAAAGTTTGCAGTTTCTTATCAGAACACCACTTGCAGTAGGTGCTGTGTGTGAGTGTTATGGCCAACAACATGTCTGTGAATGCCACTGCATTTGTTGTCAAATTTAGTAAAGGCTGCAGAAGCCTAACCGAGATGGGTTGTCCTCAAATTTACGCTGTTAATTTGCTTAGATTCTACAATAGTTTAACATTATAGATTCAGTCAAGAAGTACTTCTACCTTCCTATTGTATTTTGTGTCAACAAATGTAGATATGCCATGCCTGTACTGTATCAGAGATTTATCCTAGCAAATAAAGTACACAACCGCTATCAAGAATGTCATGGACATTAATTTGCATATGATAGACTAATAGAAATCAACAATTGGTCTAAAGTTGGCTGCATACGAGTCATGGTCCTAAAAGCGAATGCTGAAGTGTTGGCTCTATCAGGAAAGACACAAGAAGACCAAAAAGAGAAAATATGAGCAGGAAATGAGGTAATTAAACCTATTGCAGTTGCCAGTTGAACTCATTGAATCCTGCTGCTTATTGGCATATCCCATTTCCAATGAGATAGAATTTCTCCCATCATTACAAAGTACATAAGAGAAGTAACAAGTTAATTAAATTCTCTATGTGAAAATTAAGTGCGTGAATTTTAATATAAAGTTTGTATCCAATTTAAAACTAATTAATAATAAATTAAGTAATTCTCTTTATATTTAATTTATAAATTTTTTTTGTTATATCTCCCACAAAACATGGCATAAATGTCAAGTTTTATTATCCGACTTAATATATCCTCTTATATGCAAGCCTTTGAATTTTGTTTAGTGAACTAATAACAAGCTTTCTAAGAATGGAGCCTAAGCTCCCATACCATGCAAAAAAAAAAAAAAAGGAAAAAATTTTGAAGAAATATTTATTGCTTTCTTGCATCTAAATATAAATTTATACAATAAAATATATTTAAGTATAAAATTAATTAATTTAAATATATATAATAAATTACAATATAAACATAATATTTTAACATAAATATTGATATTGTAACACTCCGGACACACAAACATTAAAAAGAAAAGGTTCATTACTCATATCCATGTTTATAGCAACAATAATGAATCAGACCAGAACCGGCTGCTGGTTCTGGGCCGTTTGGTTCTTGCTTTGGCCGGAGCTCGTAAAAGAAAGCACGGCGGTTTTACCGAAACGGGTTTCCGTTCTGGTTCTGCATGGCTGTTCGTCTTCTGTTTACTGGACGCGCACAACGGGGGAAATTCCAGCGGAGAATCGTCCACAAATTGAGATACCCATTCAAGGCCAGCGACATCATCAGCCTATGAAATCCCAAAATTCAAAACACTGTCTTTAATTGATCATAAACAAAAGAAATACAACTTTTAATTCTTTCTCAGAAAAAAAATGAATTACCGGAACAGAGAGTTCATCGGTGAGGAGAGAATCCAAAGAGAAACCGGCAGAATTGGGGTTGTTATCTTGAGATGAAACAGAAAGGGAGTCTTTTTCTTCTTCTTCCTGCTCCTCTTCTTCGATGGAGCCTCCGTCTTCAAATTCTCCGGCCGAAAAATCAAGAAAACAATCGACAGAAAAATCATCACTTGGAACCCCATTAACTCCACTCAAACACCAAAAATCCTCAAGAAGAGCTTGTTGGGTCGATTTCAGACCCTGTTCCCTGAGTTTTCTCGATTTCAATGCTCTAGCTTCCATGCACATGCACTCCATTTCTATCCGAAGCAAAAATTTCCAAATTCCCAAACCATTAAAACACATACCCAGAAAAATTCACAGAATTAATTAACATTTGAATTCATCTTTTTTGGAATATTTGCATGAGATTACCTGATAATGATGAAGGTGAGAAGGGATCGAAAGGTATTTGGTTGAAGCACTGTAATGAAGGCTGGTTTGTGGGCAAAACTGGCGCTGGAGTCAATGGTTTATCTTTCTCTTTCCACTATTTTTTTTTTCCTCTTGATTGTTTTTATTTATAATCTGAATTATCTGTTTGAATCTTTTTGGGCTTTTTAAGAAGAAAATTTGACTGTTTTGAATATGAGGTTAATTTTATATTAGCAAGACTATTTAGTTGGACAAAAATAATAATATGATTCATTCCCTTTAAATAAATTATATCATCTCAATATTGATTAATGTTAATTAAAAATTGTATTTTCTCTCTCCTCCCTACATGGTCATCTTTGCCACACCTACCTCACTTCTACATTGAACAAATCATAAGAAATGACAAGCATTCTTCATCTTCTTTTAATTTTTGATGGGTTAAACTCATTGAATAACCCAATGTAAGCCGAAGGTGCCAAAATGATGAGTTAAGTACTAAAAAAAAGTTGAGGGACTAATTTGATACCAAAAGAGAAAGCTGAGGGACACATATAAGATCATCAAACCCATTAATCATAATTTCCAAGTAGTTCTTCAATTTACTCAAAAGATTTTTGTTATTCAATTCCGTTGGGGCCTTGACTACAATTAGTATCTTTGGTCCACTCCAATCATACAAATACCAAAAACGACCATGCTAGTGTTACAAGGTGTTGCATTTGCATTTACATGATCAAAGCTGGATTGAACCATGATTGATTATGCTTTCAAAGGCATAAATATTAAATCATAAAAAAGGTATCTCTATATTTCAAAGTTTAGATTGTTTTGATTATAAGAAAAATGCTCTTCATTTATTTTTAACCCTCATTTATATTAATAAAATATTTTTAAAATGTTATGAATATTTTTATTATAAAAATTTAAAAGTATCATAATGTAATTTACTCATAATAAACTACACTTCACTTAATACCAAGAATTTTCTCAATCAAATAAGTTGAAATTCAACCCAATATCCATACTACAACTAACACGAACATATGTTTATTGAAAATTTTGAATTTTGAAAATTTTGAAATCAATAACCTTGGTTGATATGTCAAGACAAGATTTAATGGAGTTAATGGCTAATGATTGGTCTGTGAAGAAATCCGGTGACAGACACTTATCATTTACGTGGCGGCTGGCGCCAAGACAAGTTTGAAGCTTTAACTTAACGGAATTAGCCACGAAAGAAAAGACCGCCGTAATCTACTTTTGGGATTTTGAAAAGCGACCCTTAAGTAATTACGAAATTAAGTTGCTTTTGCCGCGTCAATCCCGCGACATTACCGTGTCAATTGCGCCTAGTATGGTCTTGTCATCACCATTTGTAAATGTGGATGTCTACTTTACAGCCACTTCGTTGCAATTGCATCATGTTATATGCATAAAAGAGATAAAAAAAGCTTTCTTCCTTTTTCTATCTCTCCCACATCATTCACCAAATTCAGCGGCCATGCTACTGCAACCATCCTCAACCACATCTTCATTGTGGAACTAGTTTCTCAACTTTCTCCTTTTCCTTTAAAACGGAGAAAAATAAAGGAAAAGGCTTCTGAGAGAGTTGAATTATTACTGTTTCTTCGCTGTCTTTGGGACCTACAGGTGATGGAGGAGATCACGAACACATTCATATATGTTAATTTAGTATTGTTTAATTTCATGCAGAACAAATAGTGAACAATTACTGAGAATTATTACATTCATTAGAATTCGAAATGTAGTAATACAAGAACTGGATTTTCACCTGAGCGGACAACGGTTATTCCTCTTGCTACTACAGGGCCAATGGCCAAAGCATCATCTACATATGTAGCAGGTGGTTATGATCTCCCAAAGAAACGAAGAGCAAGTCAACAGCATCAAAGATGGCATCATCAAATTCAGCTAAGGTCAGCTGAGCTACAACCACCAGAAGCCCCCTAGCAAGCTTTGTATACAGCTAACAAGGATGATGGCAGTACCTCCCCTTGCCAACCCTGGACCTAATCCCATAAAGTTTGCAGTTTCTTACCAGAACACCACTTGCAGTAGGTGCTGTGTGTGAGTGTTATGGCCAACAACATGTCTGTGAATGCCACTGCATTTGTTGCCAAATTTAGTAAAGGCTGCAGAAGCCTAACCAAGATGGGTTGTCCTCAAATTTACGCTGTTAATTTGCTTAGATTCTACAAAAGTTTAACATTAGAGATTCAGTCAAGAAGTACTTCTACCTTCCTATTGTATTTTCTGTCAACAAATGTAGATATGCCATGCCTGTACTGTATCAGAGATTTATCCTAGCAAATGAAGCACACAACCTCTATCAAGAATGTAATGGACATTAATTTGCATATGATAGACTAACAGAAATTAACAATTGGTCTAAAGTTTGCTGCATACAAGTCATGATCCCAAAACCGAATGCAGAAATGTTGGCTCTATCAGGAAAGACACAAGAAGACCAAAAACAGAGAAACTATGAGCAGGAAATGGGGCAATTAAACCTATTGCAATTGCCAGTTGAACTTATTTGAGTCCTGCTACTTCTTGGCATATCCCATTTCCAATGAGATGGAATTTCTCCTCTACCCTTACCACTGAAGCATTCTGTTCCCAGCCGTATGCCTTCTCAACAGAGTACATAAGAAAAATATTGAAGTTGATTAAATTCTCCTGAAACGCGAACATTAAATAGGAAAGGTTCGTTACTCATACCCATGTTTATAGCTATATAAAATGGATTCTTTGTAGCCTCTTCCCTGTCAAAATAAAGGAAAGGAAGGAACTTTTACATGAAGGAAACAAAACAAAATTAATGATATTTCACAACTAATAAAGAGGATTAAGAACAAAATCTTCCAAGACCAAGAATATTTGAAAGGAATCCAATGGTGCAAATTCAGGACTAGGCCGGTCGGCTTCATCATGATGTCTGTCCCCCATGTAAACAATGTAAGCCTGCAAAAACACAAAAGCAAAAGGCAGCAGATTCTCTGAGGAAAAAGATCAAACATAAATCCGGGAAACAAAACAAGACTGTCAGTAGAAACCCCACATTGCTTGAAGCAAGTACACCAAGGGATAAAGACAAGACCACCCAAAACAATGGCAGATGTCTCAGCAAAGAAGAAGCTCCTAATGTATTCATTTGTGATGCTGAATTGCTGATTATGATAACAAAAGCTTGCCCTGGTTGTCCAATTGTCCATGGAAAACTGGGTCTACGTACAGAACATTACAAATCCTTTACTCAACTACTAACTCTCTGATCACAGAAAGAGACTTACTTTTCGAAAATCGTGAAAATATTAGAATCATTATGACTGGATTAAGGATCTAAAGTAGATAATTAAAGCATTAGAAATGAACATAACTTCTTACCAAGGACAAAAAGAGATGACTGCAAACAAAGTTTGATGGATGATGATGATGTTTTCAGCTTCAACGTCACATTAAATAATTTGTAATCCAAAGTTCATTGAAGTGTTCATGAAGTCAGAAGATTGAGCAAAATGATTACCATGGAATTATGGAAACCTGAAGCAAGTGGTGAATGCCCCATGACATAAGCTATAGATTAATGAAACACTAATCACAGTAATCAACAAGCTTCACGATTGAATGCGATGATGTTTCCACAGTGCTGAATTGAATCTACTGTGTATTTTTATATGTTCATCTCTAGGTTGATACCCACCAACTACGAACATTGATTTTGATATGTACAAGTTGTAACAGCTAAACGAGCAAAGAAAGTAACGGATTAGTTAAACTGTTAGGGTTGGAAGTGGTTAAGTGCAGCCTTAATCAGTATGGTTAAGTGCAGCCTTAATCAGTATGGATAGAACAGTTTGCAAGTAACAATACGATTAATCAGGTCAAAAGTCCCAACACCTTCTTAATTAAAAAAAAAAAAAGTAAAATGGGTGAGAAAGAAAGATAGAGAATGCGAAGCACAATCCTAAAAACAATTAAAGTGATATTGCTTCAACGGCAAGTGATTGCATTTGAACCCATAGAAAGATAGCTTATAGCTGACTATGCTTTTGCAAGGCTCCACTGCTATATATTAATCCACTTCTTGTCAGTGCATCTCATTATAAAAGTGAATTTTATAGCAACAGTAGTAAATCAGTTTCAAACATTTTCTTCTTCTTCTTCTTCTT